GGGCGGAAATTCCCCCTTTCCCCCCCCCCCCCCGGAACCCCACCTCAGACACCCTTTTTTGAATTTCTGTCATTTTATTGACCTTTGGTGCCTCAACAATCACATTTACAGCCTTTTATTGACTCACTAGTGACGGGGTGAAGCTGCAGTGCGGCTCAGGTGTGTGCCACAGTAATTACATTTGTCTAATTATGGATTACAACGCAGAGGGTCCAGCTCTGAGTACTCTGATGTATAGTATTTACACACATTGTGCAAGGAGTTAGTAGCTGTGTTTCTATTACAAATGTGCGCAAAAACCAAAATTTTTCGAAAAACATGAGCTTTTTAGGAGTTGATGTGTTTCCACTAAGTGAATTTCTTTTTGAAATATCAAATTGAGCATTTATACAGTCAATGGAAATGCAGCTAGCGGCTATTTGTCCTGCTGACTGATGATCCTCTCCAACAAACCTCTGATGCAGAGCAGCTTGATTTACTCTGATACCAAATTATTTTAATTTACCTTTCACTGCATATCACGTCCTGTTTTGTGTCGATGTTAAAACACGCTGGTTTTAGGACGACGACACAAGAGAAGTTTTAGGGACACGGATGCGTTTGTGTCTGAGGGATTAGTTTATGGCAGAACAGTTTGCATATCAGACAGAGGTCGATTTTCCTCCTGCACTGAACCGATGTTGGCAGAAAGGCACAGTGTCCATACAGGCAGAAACCACCAGCACTACAACAATCCTTTTCCAACACGTTTTCAGGTCATTAAAAGCACAAACAGGTTCAATGACATATGCTGAGGTCAATTCAAATATGGTCTTTGCGTCATTAAATGCCAGTTGGTAAGAAGTCACTTTTGACTAAACAAATGCGATTCTTCGGAGGTATCGGAGTAAATTCGACAATATCTAACAGAAATAAAGCCTTTCAAACATCCATGTGTGTGTGATTAACCTGTACAATGTGTTCCACTGAAATAGTAATGTTGTATTTTAATGAATGGGTCTTTAGTTTTACCGTTCCGACGTCACCTCCGCTCTTAGTCGATGTAAATAATGGTAGCTCACAGCAGGAGGGCTGGAAAAAAATAATCATTAAATTATTGTTAAAGCTCCTTATGACAAATTAGAATAAGATCAAAGCTTTTCAAAAATCACGAGACAGGAAATCATCTGTAGTTATTACGAATTATTGCCCACTTCCAAGTTATGCAAGGCAAATAGTGAACAATGGAGCAAAACCGGCGCATTGAAAGATAAGAGCAGCAGCACCAATTAAAAGAGTAAATATAAATATTCACACCATTAAAAACCCCAGCAACTGAACATCAGTTTGTTACAGAAATACATAAAAATGTTCATTTTCAAGGGCAGACTATAATATTTTGAAGTGGTTTACATTCATGCTCCATACAGTATTTGACTAAATTGAATCAAGTTTCATTTATTTTCCCGAGAATCTGGACCACGAGGGACATTATGATCCCAGCTTATCAACAATATCAAACGCAACATATTTTCTGACAACCTAATCCTCACTCCTCACTACTTGCTTGGTCCCCACCAAACATCTTTTTATTTCCTGTGCATAAGAAAAATAAAACACCAGTCTGGACAATCAGGGAAAAAAAAAAAAAAAAAAAAGCAGAGTAGTGCTGAACTCACCTGATTCATTTCTTCAAGCACCGGAAGAAACGGAAAAAAATCAACACTCTTTTGAAAAAATAAAACACTTTTAGGACTCATTGTTGCTCTGATTTGAGAGGCGATGTTGGGCTAAACGTTGGTGTTCATTTCCCCTCCTCTGTTGGGTAATAAACTCAGTTCAGACCCACAAAGATGCTGACTGTTTCAGCTTTTTCATTTAAACTAAGAGTATAAGGCTGCAGTTTCAAAGTCTGAAACCGACACTAAGAATAACCTGCATGAGTAGGAGCAGCTAGAGGAGTTTGAACGGCGTCACTGCAGCCGTGGATTTGTTGTTTCTTCAAAAATGACACGTACAGATTACCAGTTCATCAACTTAGAACTTTTTCACCTTACGACCTGAAAAGGTTATTTTTTTATGTTAAATAGCAACACAAAGCAGAGCATCATTGCAAAACAAAAAGAAAACGTGATTTTCATTTCTTAAAATAATACAAATAATAATATAATGTATAAAAATATAGTTCAATTACAACATCAAATTTATTTTAAGTCATAAACAAGCGTTTTATAACAACTGAAGGTAGCATAATTACTCGATTGTGCCTGGAAATCAAATAATAATGCCCTTTTAAATTATGTTCTGTGTCTAATAGGGAACCAATAAAGAGAAGCTAAAATAGGGAAGTATAGTCCTTTTACTTTTTGTTTGAATCAAAATTCACAGCTCTTTACTACTTGGTGGACTTCCTGATGGAAATATTTCTTATTTTTAGCAAAATTGCAGAAGCTAAAGAAGGCAGTCCAAGAAACCTCTTTTAAAATGAATTAAAGTTCAAGAGCATTAGTGAGAAAAACAAGAACAGAGCCCTGAAGAGCAAGAAACTCAGACGTGGGGGAAGTTTAAAATAGAGATTAGCTACAAAACAATAAGCCAAGCTTTGGACATGTTGTAGAGAGTTGGTCATCCTCTGAAAATAGAAACCTACCAAGACACCAGAGCAGCCATGTAGGGACAAACATGTGACAGGAGGCGCTCTGGACAAAATTAAACACATTTATATACAGGTAAGCTCGAAATTATTCATGCTCCTGGCAGAATTACATTTAAAGTAATATTTCTGATTTTATCAACCAAGATGTTTCGTCTTACTAAAATATGGTTTGCGTGTCCAGAGTCCTGAATTGAATCTGAAAGGAGGATCCTGTGGAGGGAATTAAAGACCTGGAGCTCATTAACCAGGTGGAATAATAAAGATTTTTGAATTATTGAGAAAGGATAGGAACAATATTCAAAAAGCCAATTTTTTTGAGAAAATGTAAAACGTTCCTTTCTGCTCCATTGTATTGTCTTTGTAAAAATGATCAACTCTTACCCTATCAGACAGGAATTAAATATAAATCGAAATTTGCAAGGAGTATGAGTAATTTTGGGCTTCACTGTATAAGCAAAAAAAAAAAAAAACTACGTCAGTGGTAGAAATCTGGCATTTCCTTTGCCAATGGTGAGACATGGAGGTGGCACCGTTATGCTGCGTGTGTGTGAATATATTTCCAAGGTATTTTATTGTGAAGGGAAAACAAATTCAAAGCAGTGAACTCTTATTTTCACTCTTGACTCTCAGTTGAATTTAAAGAAACACGACCAAAAAAAAAACAAAACAAAACATGAAAATAGATTTATTTAAAAAGTTTTGCTGTATTTACATTTCATGATGTCAGTATTTTTTCAGTTACAGCCTTCGTGTAAACAAGGAACATCTTCTACGTACAGAATTACAACTGCAACAGTTTTCATTATTTAATCAGAAAACGCTTCATCTCTTTCTGAGCTCCGTTCGTTTTGCACCACGCCACACTTCAAGATTAATGCTGTACGTCTAACAACTTAAACTGATGCTTTCTGCATTCAGCAGCACAAACATGGACGCCTCCTGCAGGCGTTTGTGAGTGACATGACCAGAGGGGTTTGGATTCCTGAAGAAGGGAACCTGTAGAGGTTTTATTTATGTAAATGCATCCCTGCAATCATAAAAAAAAGCAGAAGAGTGAGGTGGACTACAATCATCATGTAAACATGATCTCTAAGGCCTTTATTCAGACAAATCTAACTTCAAACACACACACACAAAAAAAACTGGCGTAAAATGTGAGAAGATTTAAGACAATGCTTTCAAAACATTAAAATTAACACTCTAAACTACAATGACTCAAATTTTAAACATTATTCTCTTAAAGACATTCGTTGATTGCATTATCACCGCTGAGCCTGTAGTGTAGAACTGCTGCCCGGGTTCTGCTTCGTTTGGTTTCGAGCTTCGCTTAATGAAAACGTGGCTGTGAGGATGGCCTCCTGCTGCTGGTGATGAAGGGTCCCGATGCCGACGGCGGGGGCGGGAAGAGCGGGGCGACTCACCAACCGGAGCTGATGTGCAGAGAGTCCGAGACGACGAGAATGAGTCGTTTGTGAAAACGGCGAGATGTTGGCATTAAAAGCTGCAGCGCGCTAGTTTACCTTGCAGGCCAGCTGCTTCTCGAACCGAGGCGCCACGAAAGACCAGGGGCCCATGTTTTGAGGTTCCTCCTGACTCCAAATAAACTCTGGGAGGAGGAGGAGAAGAGGAAACAATTTCATTTTCTCACGGTGAATTTCTGCTGCCGCTTCTCTTTTTAAAATCAAGCTGCATGACTTCAGCGTTTTCTGGGAACAATGCCTCATAGAGCTGAAGTGAAACCAGCAGTTTCAAGGTTTGGTTTCAAAAGAAAATGTTTGCTCACAATCACTTTGACAGCGGAAAGAAGAAGAGCTCTGTGAATGCAGCGCTGTAACAGGGTGTCTGCAGGTTTCAGTGAGTCACATTTAAGACCTTTTTAATGCTGCCTTGGATTAAATTGAAATTTAACACTGAAAAATACTTTAGTTTTGGCAACAGAAGTGAGCCAGTGGCAAAAATAAATGTTCGCCAGTCAACTGGTAATAATTTTGCCATGACAGCGTCAAAAAAAAGCTAGCAAGGTCACATTAGCAGCTAGTCAGCAATAGCCTCAATCGCCTTTATCTCGTTTTTTAATCACAGAACGCGATGAAGATCTGCGCGTGCGACTCAAACTTTTCCCTTACAGAAAAGTTCTGCGATTAAAAAAAAAAAATACAGATACAAGATTAAACACAACAGACCTGTGATTAATGCATTTAAGGTCAAATTAAATTAAGCTAATATTAGACATTTTAAGGCATTTAATCCAGCTTCATGATTTTAAGACTTTTTAAGACTCGTTAAGGACGCAGACACCCTTGAGAAGGTTTATCAACTTTTCCTCATGTTTATGGCGACATACTGGAAGATATTAGGAAATTTATTTTTTAGAAATGCACACGTCAAATGCTATTTTTTTTTACAAGAATTTTTTTATCTGTCTTTTATCTGTCTTTTTTTTATCTAAAAAAGCAGCAGAACATACATTTAAAAAAAAAATAAAAAAAAATCCACAAGTCTTAACTCTTCCACATGCTGACTTCTGGGATACACTGAACTGTAATTTGTAGAGTCGGATGTTTTCATAGTAAAACTGCAGCATTCTCAGCAGGTCGGTGCCGTTTAACAACACGATGCCAAACTCCTGAGATATGAATTACAGCAACGTAGTCCGACTGAGATAAACTGGAGGACACTTCACCTTGAAATGTCAAGGCTGCTGCTCATAACTTACAGGCTTCCAGTTAAAGCACCTGTGCAGCCGCAGAGAGAAGGAAGAGGTTCTAGTTTTGCTTTGCTGTCGTGGCGGGGGTGACCGTGCGCCGCAGATGTGGTGTGTGTGCAGCAGAAGATCCAACAACCCGACTGCAGAGTCTTGAGTCAGAGCAGCAGCTCGACGGCCGACAACAGTGTGAATTTAAGTGAGACGAGAAACAGGAACGCTTCCTTCTGCTGATGTAAGAGCATGTAATGCTGTTCAAACCGGATCGGCGTGTGAATCGGGGATGGAAAACAAGCCCCCGCCTTAGTTTTAATTAATCCTAGTAATCAGACAAAATCTGTGTTTTCACTGAATTTTCACGGGATCTTATTGGACTTAATTAATGAAATACGTTGTTTGGAAAAGACTCTTGAACTGCGATTGAAACTGGCCCAGCCCGCATATTAAATAGCTTTCTGACATCGTTTCAATGATGCTCAGATTTTGTTATATAATTCACAAAACGTCAACCTGGAGAAACACTTTCTGCACAGTAATTATTTAACTGTGTTAACTCTACCAGAAAAAAAAAATGTACCAAAAAAAAAGAAAACTTTTTCTTTCTAAGCATGTGACCATAAAATGACATCCAGCTTCAAGGCACTAATCAGAAACAAATGTTGAAACTTCCTTAAAAGCAAATTGGACTCAAGTCGACATATTTAATAATGCAGACAGCAATAAACATTTTTTCTTATTATTTAGTCTGACTTCCTAACCCTTTTTAACAAAGACACCATCTTTGTTCACTCCTCCACTCTGAGTGTGTGTGTGTGTGTGTGAGTGTGTGTGCTGTATGTGTTGCACTTTAAACATTCATGAAGCAAAAACCGTTTCACCTGGACGATAAAACTCCTTTAGAGACAGAGAGACAGTCTAAGTTCTGTCCATATTTCACGCCGGGAGACGATAAGCAAACGCTTTGGAGATTTACTGGTCGGACACAAACGCGCGGAGCGATGCTCGAGCATCAGATGCTGCTAATGAGACGACAGAAAAGTCAAAGCCTGGGCCCAGAATTGATTAACGCTCTGCCTGCGCGTGTTAATGTGCAGAGTTTATGCAGCCGACCAGACCAAATGTGCACCTGCCTGGTTTAGTTACGTCAAATGCGATTTTATCATCTCAAACATTTAAACTCCTAAATAATGCACGGAGCTAATAGATACAGTTGATATCTATGTTAGATGTCAGAGTTTATATTTCTCCTTGATGACGGCATTTGACAAAGTGTCACACTTTGTTTCATAATTATGTGTTTAGCTGAACAAATAAACTTGACGGTCAAGCAATCATTTTATGTTCTTTAACTGCTTTTCCACATCGAAAATGGATACGTTTCAGATAAAAATAAAAATATAAAGATTGTCAAATAAAAATGTTATTTTTCAACCTGGATGAGATTTTAGGACATTAAACAATTGTCGATTTTAATTCTTCATGCTGTTTTAAGAAGAATTTTCTTAAATTATGCTTTGAACTGTCTTGTGAAGAGTTGCACAAATTTCCTCTTTCATGCCATAAAAATGTTTCTCATCAGACTACAGGGTGTAAAATTAGGGCCTTGTGTAATTCAGGAATATTACAAAACACTTTATGGGACCTGTGTGAAAAAGCCACCCAGTGATCCTCCAGCTAAGAGGAAAATGAGTCCAACCGTGTCCTGCTCCAACAGCCTGGTCTGGAGTAAAAACGAGACACATCATCAGACTCTGATTAGAGCATTTAGAAAAAGGATTGGCTGATTTTGATTTCTGTTTTCCACTTCCCCAAAGCCGCTCACAGCCACCTCCTTAAAGAGGAAGTGGTCTCTCGTAGAGTACTCGACTCCACTCAGGCTGTCAACTAGAAAGCTCTTGTTTGGAAAAGGCTCCACGGCAAATAGAAAATTAAACACGCTTTTTATTACCCTGATTAAAAATGTTAATGACTTTTCATTTATTTCGCTTGGCAGAGCGAGTCTCCCTTGTGTAGCCGTGGATAGGGCAGCACTTCCTGCTGCTGCAGAGGGGAATTCCTAGAAAAATAAAAACGCTGCATGCAAAACACGGGACAGGTGTGCTTTTTCAAAAGAGAAACCCCAAAAAAAAAAAAACTTTGAAAAAAAAAAAAAAAAAAAAAAAGGTAAGCTGATGCTGAACAGGAAGCTCTCCAAGGCAGAACTACGCTCACAAAATGTACCGTTTAATACGTTACACACTGCTTCAAAACAATGAATCAAGAATGCAAAACAAAACTGAAGAGAGTAGTGGAAAGTACTCCATATGATTGAGATTTGGAAAAAGGAACTTGTGAATGTTCAGTGTTTAGTTGCTCAGTAAATCAAAAATATGGTCCAACTTGACTCGCACTCATGTGCAGATAAAGAAGAACCTCAGGTGTGATTGCATCTTGTTACGAGTCAAGTGTGTGTGTGTGTGTGTGTGTGTGTGTGTGTGTGTGTGTCAGCGTGCGGGGGCTCTCTCTACCTTTAGCGTTTGGATACTTTCTGAGCTCCTGCTGCAGAGGCTCGACAGGAAACGGACACAGCTCCTCCACACGGATCAGCGCCGTGTTCTGGCCGGCTGCTGACGTCTCTCTCTGCTTCAGCAGGGCGTAGTAATGCTTTCCGGAGCACAGCACCACCTTCTGGACGCTAATGAGAATGAATCCGATATTTTTCAGTGCAACGAAAGAGGACAGAAAAGAGGATAGAGCTCTTGAAAAAACGGTTCATGTTTTAAGTTTCAAGATTTCTTCAGTGCAATATTGATATTTCTGTTACGTATTCCTTAAAACCACAGTCAGAATCAGGCATAAACAACTTTACAGCTGGTCTAAGTTGTGGTAGACAAACTTGGGTACATTAAAAGTATGTATGTTTCTTGAAAAAGGAAAATATAAAAAACATTTTTTGTTCTACACAGATAGACAAAGGAAATTATTTCATCCTCAACTTGCAATTCTTAGATTTTTTTAAAACTTTAAAAGGCAGTTTAGGATCTCCGATATACTAAAAACCTGGAAATATGATAAAATGTTTTTAAACCCGTTTCAAGTAACCTTGACGAATCCAAGTTCAGCTTGTTCTGTTCTGACCGATGACTGAAAAATCTGATTTCTCTCCATCAGTGAATGCATCACCAATAAGTGCTAGTTAGAAAAACTCTCCCTACATCTGGAAGCATCGGTGAGCTTCACCGAAGTGAGAAAAATTAAATCAGAGGAAGCACAGAGATGGAAGATGCTTCTTAATGAAACGCTTGTTTCTTCTGAATTATTCCGGCTGTGACAAAGCGAGAGAGAGCAAGACTTCAGAGAGACTCATTCGCAGTTCTTTTCTTTTCGCCATTTTATTCTATTCTNAGGACTCATTGTTGCTCTGATTTGAGAGGCGATGTTGGGCTAAACGTTGGTGTTCATTTCCCCTCCTCTGTTGGGTAATAAACTCAGTTCAGACCCACAAAGATGCTGACTGTTTCAGCTTTTTCATTTAAACTAAGAGTATAAGGCTGCAGTTTCAAAGTCTGAAACCGACACTAAGAATAACCTGCATGAGTAGGAGCAGCTAGAGGAGTTTGAACGGCGTCACTGCAGCCGTGGATTTGTTGTTTCTTCAAAAATGACACGTACAGATTACCAGTTCATCAACTTAGAACTTTTTCACCTTACGACCTGAAAAGGTTATTTTTTTATGTTAAATAGCAACACAAAGCAGAGCATCATTGCAAAACAAAAAGAAAACGTGATTTTCATTTCTTAAAATAATACAAATAATAATATAATGTATAAAAATATAGTTCAATTACAACATCAAATTTATTTTAAGTCATAAACAAGCGTTTTATAACAACTGAAGGTAGCATAATTACTCGATTGTGCCTGGAAATCAAATAATAATGCCCTTTTAAATTATGTTCTGTGTCTAATAGGGAACCAATAAAGAGAAGCTAAAATAGGGAAGTATAGTCCTTTTACTTTTTGTTTGAATCAAAATTCACAGCTCTTTACTACTTGGTGGACTTCCTGATGGAAATATTTCTTATTTTTAGCAAAATTGCAGAAGCTAAAGAAGGCAGTCCAAGAAACCTCTTTTAAAATGAATTAAAGTTCAAGAGCATTAGTGAGAAAAACAAGAACAGAGCCCTGAAGAGCAAGAAACTCAGACGTGGGGGAAGTTTAAAATAGAGATTAGCTACAAAACAATAAGCCAAGCTTTGGACATGTTGTAGAGAGTTGGTCATCCTCTGAAAATAGAAACCTACCAAGACACCAGAGCAGCCATGTAGGGACAAACATGTGACAGGAGGCGCTCTGGACAAAATTAAACACATTTATATACAGGTAAGCTCGAAATTATTCATGCTCCTGGCAGAATTACATTTAAAGTAATATTTCTGATTTTATCAACCAAGATGTTTCGTCTTACTAAAATATGGTTTGCGTGTCCAGAGTCCTGAATTGAATCTGAAAGGAGGATCCTGTGGAGGGAATTAAAGACCTGGAGCTCATTAACCAGGTGGAATAATAAAGATTTTTGAATTATTGAGAAAGGATAGGAACAATATTCAAAAAGCCAATTTTTTTGAGAAAATGTAAAACGTTCCTTTCTGCTCCATTGTATTGTCTTTGTAAAAATGATCAACTCTTACCCTATCAGACAGGAATTAAATATAAATCGAAATTTGCAAGGAGTATGAGTAATTTTGGGCTTCACTGTATAAGCAAAAAAAAAAAAAAACTACGTCAGTGGTAGAAATCTGGCATTTCCTTTGCCAATGGTGAGACATGGAGGTGGCACCGTTATGCTGCGTGTGTGTGAATATATTTCCAAGGTATTTTATTGTGAAGGGAAAACAAATTCAAAGCAGTGAACTCTTATTTTCACTCTTGACTCTCAGTTGAATTTAAAGAAACACGACCAAAAAAAAAACAAAACAAAACATGAAAATAGATTTATTTAAAAAGTTTTGCTGTATTTACATTTCATGATGTCAGTATTTTTTCAGTTACAGCCTTCGTGTAAACAAGGAACATCTTCTACGTACAGAATTACAACTGCAACAGTTTTCATTATTTAATCAGAAAACGCTTCATCTCTTTCTGAGCTCCGTTCGTTTTGCACCACGCCACACTTCAAGATTAATGCTGTACGTCTAACAACTTAAACTGATGCTTTCTGCATTCAGCAGCACAAACATGGACGCCTCCTGCAGGCGTTTGTGAGTGACATGACCAGAGGGGTTTGGATTCCTGAAGAAGGGAACCTGTAGAGGTTTTATTTATGTAAATGCATCCCTGCAATCATAAAAAAAAGCAGAAGAGTGAGGTGGACTACAATCATCATGTAAACATGATCTCTAAGGCCTTTATTCAGACAAATCTAACTTCAAACACACACACACAAAAAAAACTGGCGTAAAATGTGAGAAGATTTAAGACAATGCTTTCAAAACATTAAAATTAACACTCTAAACTACAATGACTCAAATTTTAAACATTATTCTCTTAAAGACATTCGTTGATTGCATTATCACCGCTGAGCCTGTAGTGTAGAACTGCTGCCCGGGTTCTGCTTCGTTTGGTTTCGAGCTTCGCTTAATGAAAACGTGGCTGTGAGGATGGCCTCCTGCTGCTGGTGATGAAGGGTCCCGATGCCGACGGCGGGGGCGGGAAGAGCGGGGCGACTCACCAACCGGAGCTGATGTGCAGAGAGTCCGAGACGACGAGAATGAGTCGTTTGTGAAAACGGCGAGATGTTGGCATTAAAAGCTGCAGCGCGCTAGTTTACCTTGCAGGCCAGCTGCTTCTCGAACCGAGGCGCCACGAAAGACCAGGGGCCCATGTTTTGAGGTTCCTCCTGACTCCAAATAAACTCTGGGAGGAGGAGGAGAAGAGGAAACAATTTCATTTTCTCACGGTGAATTTCTGCTGCCGCTTCTCTTTTTAAAATCAAGCTGCATGACTTCAGCGTTTTCTGGGAACAATGCCTCATAGAGCTGAAGTGAAACCAGCAGTTTCAAGGTTTGGTTTCAAAAGAAAATGTTTGCTCACAATCACTTTGACAGCGGAAAGAAGAAGAGCTCTGTGAATGCAGCGCTGTAACAGGGTGTCTGCAGGTTTCAGTGAGTCACATTTAAGACCTTTTTAATGCTGCCTTGGATTAAATTGAAATTTAACACTGAAAAATACTTTAGTTTTGGCAACAGAAGTGAGCCAGTGGCAAAAATAAATGTTCGCCAGTCAACTGGTAATAATTTTGCCATGACAGCGTCAAAAAAAAGCTAGCAAGGTCACATTAGCAGCTAGTCAGCAATAGCCTCAATCGCCTTTATCTCGTTTTTTAATCACAGAACGCGATGAAGATCTGCGCGTGCGACTCAAACTTTTCCCTTACAGAAAAGTTCTGCGATTAAAAAAAAAAAATACAGATACAAGATTAAACACAACAGACCTGTGATTAATGCATTTAAGGTCAAATTAAATTAAGCTAATATTAGACATTTTAAGGCATTTAATCCAGCTTCATGATTTTAAGACTTTTTAAGACTCGTTAAGGACGCAGACACCCTTGAGAAGGTTTATCAACTTTTCCTCATGTTTATGGCGACATACTGGAAGATATTAGGAAATTTATTTTTTAGAAATGCACACGTCAAATGCTATTTTTTTTTACAAGAATTTTTTTATCTGTCTTTTATCTGTCTTTTTTTTATCTAAAAAAGCAGCAGAACATACATTTAAAAAAAAAATAAAAAAAAATCCACAAGTCTTAACTCTTCCACATGCTGACTTCTGGGATACACTGAACTGTAATTTGTAGAGTCGGATGTTTTCATAGTAAAACTGCAGCATTCTCAGCAGGTCGGTGCCGTTTAACAACACGATGCCAAACTCCTGAGATATGAATTACAGCAACGTAGTCCGACTGAGATAAACTGGAGGACACTTCACCTTGAAATGTCAAGGCTGCTGCTCATAACTTACAGGCTTCCAGTTAAAGCACCTGTGCAGCCGCAGAGAGAAGGAAGAGGTTCTAGTTTTGCTTTGCTGTCGTGGCGGGGGTGACCGTGCGCCGCAGATGTGGTGTGTGTGCAGCAGAAGATCCAACAACCCGACTGCAGAGTCTTGAGTCAGAGCAGCAGCTCGACGGCCGACAACAGTGTGAATTTAAGTGAGACGAGAAACAGGAACGCTTCCTTCTGCTGATGTAAGAGCATGTAATGCTGTTCAAACCGGATCGGCGTGTGAATCGGGGATGGAAAACAAGCCCCCGCCTTAGTTTTAATTAATCCTAGTAATCAGACAAAATCTGTGTTTTCACTGAATTTTCACGGGATCTTATTGGACTTAATTAATGAAATACGTTGTTTGGAAAAGACTCTTGAACTGCGATTGAAACTGGCCCAGCCCGCATATTAAATAGCTTTCTGACATCGTTTCAATGATGCTCAGATTTTGTTATATAATTCACAAAACGTCAACCTGGAGAAACACTTTCTGCACAGTAATTATTTAACTGTGTTAACTCTACCAGAAAAAAAAAATGTACCAAAAAAAAAGAAAACTTTTTCTTTCTAAGCATGTGACCATAAAATGACATCCAGCTTCAAGGCACTAATCAGAAACAAATGTTGAAACTTCCTTAAAAGCAAATTGGACTCAAGTCGACATATTTAATAATGCAGACAGCAATAAACATTTTTTCTTATTATTTAGTCTGACTTCCTAACCCTTTTTAACAAAGACACCATCTTTGTTCACTCCTCCACTCTGAGTGTGTGTGTGTGTGTGTGAGTGTGTGTGCTGTATGTGTTGCACTTTAAACATTCATGAAGCAAAAACCGTTTCACCTGGACGATAAAACTCCTTTAGAGACAGAGAGACAGTCTAAGTTCTGTCCATATTTCACGCCGGGAGACGATAAGCAAACGCTTTGGAGATTTACTGGTCGGACACAAACGCGCGGAGCGATGCTCGAGCATCAGATGCTGCTAATGAGACGACAGAAAAGTCAAAGCCTGGGCCCAGAATTGATTAACGCTCTGCCTGCGCGTGTTAATGTGCAGAGTTTATGCAGCCGACCAGACCAAATGTGCACCTGCCTGGTTTAGTTACGTCAAATGCGATTTTATCATCTCAAACATTTAAACTCCTAAATAATGCACGGAGCTAATAGATACAGTTGATATCTATGTTAGATGTCAGAGTTTATATTTCTCCTTGATGACGGCATTTGACAAAGTGTCACACTTTGTTTCATAATTATGTGTTTAGCTGAACAAATAAACTTGACGGTCAAGCAATCATTTTATGTTCTTTAACTGCTTTTCCACATCGAAAATGGATACG